AAATGCAGATAAGCCATAGAGCAGGCAAACCAGTAAGTCCCTCCCTGCCAGGCTGTTTGCTAACGCCCTGTAGGAGTCATGCTGTAATCGCTGTCTGCTTGCTTTTTAAATAGAAATGTTTAATTGGTTAGGTTCCTTGTAGGCTGTTCTTACATTCCCCTGGAAAATGCTGTACACTGACAGACACAAGACACCTCTGCAGAAGGTGCAGAGCTCTGACCTTCGTTCCTTTTAGAGAGAAGTGTGAGCTGGGCATTGGCACAATGACTGACATCAGGAGTAACATCCCACATGGAACTGGTAGGACTTCAGTGATACAGACAAAGGAAAACTGTCAGAAGGTGACACACTAGTTTTAACTCAAACTATGAAAAGGAAAGGTAGTCATTCACAATTGGAAATTCACAGTGCAAAAGGATTTGGGCAGACTTGGAATTGAAGCAGATAAGAGGGAAGTGGGTTCTAGGTAAAAATAAATAAAAACAAATAAAAAACTAGGTACACAAACATCAAATATGTTAGAAGAGTTTTAGGAAGTAATAAACAAAGAGCAGTAACATATGAGAATATTTATATTAAGTAAGAGTTGTACCACTTTTTCTATGTTATCTAGCTTCCTTCTTTAAAGAAAAGAAAGCAGCTCTATTGACACAGCACTTATGTGCAGGAGTCCCACTCCCACTGTCCAGTCAGCAAACAAGCAGATGGTGCCACCTCCATTTCTGTAGTTTGTCTCTTGCTCCTATAAAAGGCACAATCAGGTGTCTGGGAACATAATGCAACAAACACAAATAATATGTATTCAGAATTCCATACTGACTAGGAAGAGTAGAGAAAAAATGTAGGGACCTGAGAGTGTTCTGAAGTTGTTCAACAATGAGGCAGCATGACAAGCACAGGAGGCATAAGAGATACTCCCATATGTGGCTGCCTGCAACCACAGGAGAGCAAACATTGCAGGGCCACACTGACACAGAACAGAAGACTCCAGCATGTACTGGATGCATGCATCATACATATCCTGGTGTCAACATCTGGGAGAAGCTCCATCTGGAGAACTGCCATAGCCTTCTGACTTCCAAGTGAGCATGAAGAACAACCAGCACTGAAGGACATCACTCACATGCTTCATGCAGAAATACCTCCATCCTGAGTGCTGAGGCAGGTCTGTACACTGGCTGACTGGCCCTTCTGAGGAGCTTCCAAGAAAACAAAACACCAAAATGTTGATTAATTATTGGTTAGGATAGGTAAATGCATTGATTGCATTGTAAGTCAGTTTTATTACTTTATCCCGAATTACCATTTTAACTGATAATGCTAGCAAAGAAGGCAGAACTGAGGCAGAAACTTTTTTTTTCCAATTTTGAGAAAATGAATTTTTATATTTATCCATAATTACTTATGTGTATTTCAGTCAACAGCAGGGGCTTCTGTCCTTAAGAGGTAATTGCTGTATCTGACTTACAACGTGTAGATACTCACAGTGTGAAATGGTTAGGTTGTTCCTATCTATAGAATATATTTGAAAGGTGGGTTTAAGCTGAACACTTCTGCAAATGCAATATCCAGAAGGTACTCAGGAATTCTCTACAGAAACAAATCCTTAGCCTTCAACAAAGTGCCCTGTGTGTGACTGTGGCTAGTGACAGGTGTGGGACTCTGCCAGGAATGGAGCTGTGTGTGCCACTGCTGCTGCCAGTGCCCTGTGCATGCTCACGGAGTCATGGCTCGGTCTGCCAGCAGCTCAGGGTGCTGAGAGATTAAGCAGGCCTCAGAACTGCATTCTGAAACCAACCTTCAGCTTTAAGTGGGAATACATTAAAAAAAAAAAATCATTTTAGTTATCTCCCATTACTGATTTCCCCTAAATGACAGACTGCAATTAAAAGAAAAATAATGAGACTTGTGAGAATTTAAAACAAAAAGAAAGCTAACAGTCTCCCGTGCTGTTGGATGGTCAGTCCCTCCACTAACATCTCCCTGCAAGGATTACAGTCGCCTTGCATTTCAGAACACAGGTCAGCACAAGAGATAAGCCTCTTTTTGTCTTATTCATGTCATGGAAACATTTCATTTCAAAGAAATTGTTCTGTTTTTTGGTGGTATGCGGGACTATCTGTGCTGAACTGCAAGTCATCAATACAATTTCATGTCAGGGTCTTTTCTTCAACATGATCCTGTGCCTATCAGTGAATCTGTGCTCCCTATCTCCTAGCCTGGGTCTCTTCCATTCTGGTTTGCACCTTTTTCCCTTCCTGGAGCAAACCAGAAAGGTTCCCAGGAAGTGCCATCCTGCACACATAGCCTTCAGATGAACACATGAGCCCAGAGAGAAGGGCAAGTAGGGTGTTCCAAAAAGAAACTGACAATTTACAAAGCAGCTGCCAATTAGCCAGACCTTAATTTTGCAAATTTATTTAGGAAAAGGAATTAACATGAGCAAATGAGAATACCTCAGTGTTACAACAGAGTATATAAATGTCTAGCAATAGTCAAATAATTTGATCTTTAAATACAAAATAACCACATGAACACCTAATATACAGGTTTCATCTGAATACATATTTATTAGATAAATATTAGGTTGTCACATCATCTAACTACATACAGTTTTGCAAGACTAAAAATCACAATTATTTTTTCTGACCAGTTTAAAGTATGAAATGATTGCATTGTACTGTACATACAATGTACAAACAAAGACAATGGCCATTTTTGCGTGTTACGTCAGATTGTATTTTTTTTTTTTTTAATTCCCCTCTGATCGCGATATCAAAAATTGTACAAAGTATGAATTTGGTTACAATTTACTTTTTTTGTAATCCCCTTATTTTTCTTCATTATTTCTGTAGCACCCTAAAAATACACAGGTGATAGACTAGTACACGTAAGCTAAATATTACAAGTAGATAAAACAAAACAAAACGAAGGATCAGAGTATATTACAGAAGTGAAAGTGAAACGAATGCCGAGACTCCACAAACGCTAACAAACAGGATTCATTTTCCACATAAGATGGAGCTTCAAGCTTTTTTTTTTTTTCCTGCGAAATAAAAACAATGCACATTCCAAGGAAAATGAATGCATTTCTGTTAACATGTCTCTATTTGTCATTTACATATGTACAGATGTCCCTTGAGTCTCCGCTGCAGACATTGGCGTGTATCTGTCAGTCCTATAATAATGTCTTGCCAGCAGAACTGTAGATTTCTGTGGGTTCTTTCCCAGATGAACTTCCATAGGGAAACAATTAAAAAGTAAACAAACAAAAAAAGAAGAATAAAAATACTACTGGAATTTCATACAATAATTAAGCTTTAAAAGAAATGACTGTGATTACCCTATTTGCTAGGCTTTTTCTCTAAAATTTAATACGGCAGTGAACAGATAAAAAAATAACTAAATTTTCATGTAGAAGCATTTCCATACTGAATCTACTATACAGTACCTGATTTTAGCTGACATAGTTTTAAAACTGTCTCGTATGTCCAACATTTGGGAGATGGGTAAAAATCATGTTTTCTCTCATAAGTTCTGCTTAGAAACCAAACGCTTCTCTAAGCTCCGACATGTCAACCATCCACTTTAATGCTCTATTACTGTACAAAGCAGGTGCAAACACTGCTCCAAACATATTGCTAATATCTATGTGGGTTTGTTTTTTTTTTTCCCTTTATTCTTTCCAGCAGGTACTTTCAGATGATACATTTTAAATACTACCAGTTAGCAAAAAGTCAATTCTTAACATACCTGGTTTAAAATACTAACGCTGTGTTTAAGAGAAAAGCAATTTCAGGTGACTAACTTAGCTGCTCAGGAAACAATGAGGAGTGGATTAAATAGAATCAATTAAAAAATCTGAGCAAGCCATTCCATCTAGTACTGAGAAATGTTCTTTATTCCAAAACCTATGGCTTAAGAAACTTCCCCCGAAATGAAACAAAACAAAACCCTAAGGGCATAACGTCAGTTTATCATTCATCACCCCTGAAAATGACTTCAATACATATATGAACAATGCAGCAAAAATACAGGGGAAAACTACTACAGTAAAATGGCTACAAAACACATCTGTAACTGAAGAATGGTCTTTCCTAGTGTTGGCATGGCAGCAGCACCACACCACAACCGTGTTACCGTGTATTATACCAAGGTATCTTTAATATTCTGCAGAGATCCTCTACAGGTTGTCAAGCCTACATAAGAAAAAAGACATTTCTAAGCAGAATAAAATGTACTATACTGTTTCCCTCCCCACCCACCAGCATCCCTTCGTGTTAGTGTGCCCAGCTCTGCAGGCTGGAACACCAGCACAGTGATATAAATACGGTACCTTACGTACTCGCTGCTTGCCTTAGTGCTTCTTCACCCGTTCAGACAGCTGCTCCTAGGTGTCCTGCTCACTGGGGCAAAGGGACAAAACTTCTGCTGTCACCAGCCCACAGGCACCACATGGGCAGGGAACATCGGTTGGTTGGGTGATGGGATTTTTGCCCTAGGCAATCACTTCTTACTGTGTTTCCATGACAGAGCTGGGCCCTGATTGTCCAGGTACTGTCTGACATATCATTTCATTCATCAGGTAAATGGATATGAAGTTTGGGCTAAATTTTCAAAAGAAAACAGGTTGGGGGGGGGGGGGAGGGAGAGGGGCGGGAAGAGGGAAAAAAAAAAACCTCCCTTATTCTGTTAAAGAACCCTCAATTTTTTGTTGTTGTTTTTTTTTTTTTTTTTTGTTAAAAAAGGACCCATATATTTTTTTTCAGACAAGGTATTTAAAAACACCAGCAAAAGTATAATCAGATCATGAAAATGTTGAATATTATCAAAGACGATACTAAAATATTCACAAAGATATTTACAATAGCAATTCTTAAAATAATTGATTTTGCATAATGAACAGCGCCTTTCTTAAAAAAACTTGAAACAGGAAAAATATAAGTGTGGGACCATCTCTACATAATATGTTTGACAGATTCAATACTTCTACTGGAAAATAAAAGAACTAAACCGCCATTTCCTTTAATATCTACAGCAAGGTGCTGCTGACTAGCATATATATATCACGACGCATGTACAGCAGTAGTGGGAAATGTTAACAAAGAGCAAAATAAAACAAGAACTGCAAAGAATTTACAAACATGACTTTGGTGAGGAAAGCAAATCCAGAGTTGTAAGCACATAGCATGCCATTTACAGCTTGCAAACTGAACACAGAGGGCTAGGAAACTCTAGTCAAACAGATGGGAACAAACAAAATTTGTCTGGCACTTAAGTTTAAAATGTGTTGTGGCGAGCAAATAAAAGTTACTGGATTGGGTTTGGGATGAGGAAAGGAGTAGGTCAAATTTGCTTTAGTAATAAAAAGAAATTAACCAATAACTCCACAGTGGGCAAAAGCTGAAATGTTGCACCACGAGGGCAAAGTTGGCACACATGCACTTCTTACACAGCTACTGTACATAATTTATAAAAGAGAGAGAGAGAGACAAAGAGCACAGAAATGGGCACAGAAGCAATAGGAAGCTCATGCAGGAGAAGCAACCACACGAGAAGCACGGATCACAGGGGCAAGACAGTGATTGTGGCATTAGGGTCTCTTGAGGGCAGCAGCAATCTACCAAGTCATTTTTCCTCCCCATGCCCTTTCCTTCATGAGAACAATTTCTTCCTGGTACCTAAGGTTTAAAAAAAGAAACCGAAGGAGGAGAAAAGAAAGCTTGAATTATTTGTAACAGTCATGAAAACAGAACGCAAAGCAAAATAAAAAAGAAGCTATGTCTATCCAATTTCAATGCCCCTCTTCAAGCTGATTATGAAAAATAATTATGCAGATCGTGATGTTACTCTCCCTCATCCTGCAACAATTTCCTATCTGCCTTTGACCTAGCTTGTCTTATTATGTGTTGTGCAACACACACAGTGATGCAAACGCTCAGGAAGCAAAGGCTGTAGGTTAATAATTGAGAGTTTTGGTTTGCATTCCCCCCTCCCTCTCTTTTCCATTCTGTATGAATTAAATGGCAAAAAGACCACTTACAACAATCTTGACAGTTGGGTGTCAACGCAGCCACAAACGGTAATGATTTGAAACCAAACCACAGAAAAACCCTAAACATTGAAAGTATTTTTTATTTTTTCCATGTGCTTCCAATGTGTGTGTTTGAACAGAGGAATCCTTTGCAAAGAAGTGTTTAAGATTCCTGAACTTTTCTAAGTCCAAACACATGTGGCTGCGGCCTGGAGATGCTCAGGACTCCATTACTGACAAACGTGTTTACTAAACTGCTGTCACCCTCTTGATGGGCTCGTATTTCTTCCCTACCTTTGCCATTTTACTGTACAACTTGTGCTTTCTGGAGCTTTGTGTTTTTGTTTTTTGTTTTGTGTGTGGCCAGAAAAATTACTCCAACACAAACTTGTGCTAGGAGAGGGACAGAGGAGAAGCAGGGTGGAGGGAGATGGTTTCAAAAAAATGGAAGAACATGCGTTGGAAGGACACTCTGAGACAGGTCAATTAAAGACAGTTCCATTTTGTTGCCTTTTCTTCCCTTGCCAAGATTTGTTTTTGCCAAGATACTTCACACTATGTTTATCACAGAACTCTCTCTCTATAGGATGAACAACAAACGGGGTTTCCAATAGCTGCACAACTGTCTGTGTTTTGTTGTGACGCATAGCATGGCGGACTCTGAGATTACTGCAGTTTTTTGTGTATTTTTTCTCCCGGCACTTTCACAGTTTTTGAAGCTGACAAAAGCAGTTCTGAGATGAAGAAAGCAGGGAGTGCACCACTGGATCAACTCGTGAGGTGTTTTTTTCTTCTTTTGTGGAAAAGGAGTGTTAAGATTCCTCGCTGTGCAGCCACACGTGTGAACAAGTGAAAGGGGTGGGGGAATACATGTGGGTTCAATTGTTCTCAAAGAGAGACAGAAGGTCATCATTGCTATTGCTTGGCAAATCAGGAGGATCCAGGTACGAAAGCAGCTCATCTGGATTTGTGAGTTCTGGAAGCAGCTATAAGATACAAAGATAAAAGGAAAATTACAGATAACAGAAATACAATTGTGAGAAAAGGGATTAAAACACCATACATTCCAGGAAACTGGCTTTCATATACATATATTGAAATGAATCTGACAGCAGTAATGCTGCCTAACACCCTAAGGTGATGCAGTAGCCACTTGTTTGTGAAAGCCTCTATTACTCAACTTCCCCATCACAAAGCTTATCAATAAACAAAGTTTAATTCCTGCCTAGTGATGCTGATAAGACCTTCTTGATAAATGCCAGTTACGTAGGTTAGTTTCATGTAGAACACCGAATGTAAACTTGAACCATGCAGTCATGTAAGACTTATTTGATCCTTAAAGTGGATCAACAAAGCCTGGTGTATGTGACTGGCAGGCAGCAGCGTGGTGACTGCTTTAGGCCTGCATCCCTATGGAGCGAGGCTGCTGTGTCCACCCCTTCCTCATGCATGGACACACAGGCTGGGCAGTGAGCTGGATTGGAACTCACCAGATTTTGAAACTAACCCAGACCAAAAAAAGCCCCCAAATCAAAATTAAAAAACGCACTGAAAGTCCTAAGGAGGAGTAGGGGGTGGGGAGTGACAAGGCAGGCAGCTGACCTCCTTTTCTCTCTGTGGCAGTGACAGCTGATGGTAATTGGAAGTGCTTATTCAACTTCACCTTATGTGCATTTCAAGGTATTTTAAAGGGTCAGGGGCATAACACTCCAACCAACAGAAAATGCACTGATCTTCACAAGGTTTTAAATGTATCAAGATAAAAAGTTTTTTAACTTATGTTTTCACTAACACTGTACTTCAAATAGAACTATTTTTTTTCCCAGGCATCACTCAGATTCTTTTTGATCTGACAAGTCACAAGCACACCTCAGCTACTGAGGGTTTTGTAAGAGGCAATGTTTTCTGGCTTATTCTGCAACTTACCAAGTCTTGGTAAAAAGTAAAAGTATTTATCAACTGACAGGGAAGAGTTTGTAATAAGCTCCCTTTATATTCAGCATTGAGGCCAAGACAGAAAAACATGGAATAATTAGAAAAAACATAAGTACAAGAAATGCATTTTAAATTGTTTTGTGTTTTCAAATACTACGAAAGTAAAATCTTGACTGCATCACGTTTAGCATACAAGTACTATATTTATATGCTTCTTATGCTCAAATGGACAAAGATATTTTTAAATAAGCTATACATGAAATGAAGAAGGAAGTTTATTACTTCCTAAGCATTATTAAAAAAAAAAAAAAAGAAAAAAAAAGAAAGAAAAGTTTGCATAAACAAAACATCCCTGAGGGAATGTTTTTCATAAAACACCTCCTCCTTTTATACACTGCTGTTTTAACTGCTGTTGTCATACTGCTAGACTAAAGATATACAGCTTTTAAATGCATTTCACCTGCTAGCATAGTTTTCCGAGTATCTAGTATGGGACTAAAAGAAAACTGCGGCCTCACCATATGTTTAGAAAGTAACAAATGGTTGAATGTATCCCACAGATAGTCCAACTCAATTCTTAAAAAATTAACGTAATGTGTCTGAGACTCACTCTTTTATACAGAGGATTGCTGTTTTTGTTTTTCTTTTTTTTTTTTTTTTTTAGAAAGGTGAAAGTTTAAAATAATACGCTCTTTAACAATTCTGCCTTCTGAATTTTGAAGGTGTATTTCACATGATGAAGTGAAAATTCAAGACTAGGATATTTCTAAGACTCCTCAAAAGAGAATCGTCCAGTTTTTGCTAGTTAAGGTATATTTTGACACAGTCTCAAGGAGAAAAAGGGTAAAGGGGAGGAAATTCTGAAAACAAGAAGAGCATTTCTGAATGCTGGGGTGTCTCCCTGCATGCAGGCCTGTGCAACACATGGCCCACAAGCCAGGAGCTGGCACTGTAGCTTGGCCGCTGGTATGTGGGAATCCTCATGGCAGCCCCTTGCAGCAAGAGGCAAATCCAAGGACTCAGCTGGGTGCAGTGCTGAGCCAGGAGGGAAGGATGGAGGGCTGAGATGGGCAGGCACTGTGAGGGTGTGTTGGACTTGTCAGAACTTTAAGAGTACACCCAGTGCTCCTGAAGTGATCCTGTAGTGCTCTCACCAGGCATCTGCGCCCCGTGCCTCTGCTGTGTGTGGTGTGAGTGTGGGTCATCTCCTTCTATAGGAGGTGTACCCTTCTGCCTGGTTAAGCACTGCACTGGCACTAATGAATGACCCCGTCTATGCCAGCAGGCAGTGGGCCCAGCTGCCCACAGTGCATTCCCCAGCTTGGTTCCAGCTCACAGACAGTGCTGCATGGTGCCTTGCTCTGCCTGGTTCCACAAGTCACCAGTAACTAAACCTGCTGACATCATTCATCTGAGCATGACTGAGCTCACAGATATTTCTAAGCTCTATGCTCTCCACACTGTGCAGCGCTTGCTTCACTAAGCTACAGCAATTTCAGTTTCAGCGTTGCACCAAATGCCTCCACCAGCGATACTCACAGTACTATAACATCTATTTTCTTTTCACTAAGGAACAATTGCCTGACCCATTACAGTGTACAGGGTTACTTAAATACTTGAAGAAAAAACGATATTTTTATTTCACCTACTGATATTACTCATATGGCATCCTTAAGGGCTCAGACCTCCAGTTGCCACATGACCTGCAGCTCCTGAGAGATGTGCCATGGCCTTGCTGTGTGACAGACACAGCCTGGCTCCAGCACAGGCACTGCTTACTGAGGGCTTCTCCCAGTGCCTGGAGCCTGCCTTCCCCTGCGAGGCTGCCTGATGGCACAGTGCTGTCATGAGACAGGGAACAGGCACGCACACAACAACAGCACGGACAGGTATAAACCTGAGGCACAGAGTGAACACTTCTCTCAGAAAAATACATTGTGCGGCAGACTTTGGACCAGACAGAAGATACAAGTACAGGAATGCATGACTTAAACAAAAATTCAACTCTAGTGCTAAGAAACATGACCTTTGGAAGGTGAGTGGTTGACCAGAGGGATGCCTCAGGTAGCTCACTCCCAGCACTAGCAGTGGGTGGCTGCAGACATTACTTCTGTCTTTAACACTAGGCTCATCTTCGTTTAGTCACATGCTGCTCTCAACCCTGGCTAAGGAGGCAGAAGATGTCCTTGCTGTTCATTTGAAGCACTTGCATGGTATGGAGCAGGACATGTGCTACTGAGTGCGGTGGCAGGGCCCAGAGCCAGGGATGGACGCCACTGCCAGGCACTGCAATGCCGAAGCTGAGCCAGCACACAGCTCAACGGGCACCATGTGGCCCAAGCCCGGCCCATGTGCAGCCGCCTCCTTCTAATCTGGAGGCTGCAGCGGCTCCAGGGCCTGGGCTCGTGCACACGAGTGCCTTCATCAGGCAGCGAGGGGATGGGAGATCTCTCTTCTGTGCAGACACTTGACCTGTTGTCTCAAGAGAAACCTGCCTGCCTGCTATGAGGAGGACACGGCTGGCACGTCATATGGCTTAAAACAGAAGAGTTTCCACAGCAAGCCAGGAGCGCCCTGTCACCTCAGCTGCAGTGACTACGCCCATGTACCCAAGCATGAGACGATGGCATGTGCTGTGGAAGCGGCTCCCCGTCCCCGAACCCACCCCGCCCTCCCGCCGCCATGTCAAGCACACGCTATGGCAGGCAGATGATAGTATGACACAGACTTACATCCAGCGAGGGCTCCGGCATGTCAGGTGCTCCCTGTCCACCAGCCTGACCCTCTAAGGCTGAGGAGGGATTAAAGGTCAGGTCACTGTGTGGATGGTTGCCAGAAGCGGCCGGGGGCGGCTGCCGGGACTGCTGGCTGGGAGGCCCGCTGTGATGTAATGGCTGCCCTGACTGGCTGCTGGGGTGAGGGACGTGCAAACCTTGCTGCATGGAAGTATGGGACTGATCAGTGCTGCCGGGATGAGGGATCTGCGGAGGAGGAAAAAAGCAGGAAAAGAAAGTGAGGCCACAAGGTACAGTGCTCGCGGTGCCTGACTCTGTAACCGCATGTTAAAAGGAAACAACAAAAATGAATTAAAAAGACCAAAAAAAAAAAAAAAAAAAAAAAAGAAAAAAAAAAGAGAAAAAAAAGCGTAATTGGAAAAGAAAGCTCCATATCCCAATGCTGGAGGAAATGTTTGGCTTTTTGGAGGTCACTTGCAAAGGGAAATAAACACACTGGGTTTGTGCTGCTGCATTTGCTTTGCTGTAATGTGGGAAGCTGTGGCTGAAGGTGCAAATCAAGCAGCCTATGGAGTTGAGGGGGGCTGATGGTGCTGCTCAGCATGAGCCAGGCAGATGCACTGCCCTTGAAAAATTTCAAGAATGAATGGAGAATTTGTTGAATAATAATCCCTGTGCCAGCAAAATGATTAACTGAGAAAATACTTAAGTTCTACTCAGATTCCTTATTGGGCAGCTTCCCTGACATTGCTACCTATTCTTGTTTCAGCTTGTTACAAACATCTGGCAAATGCCAGCCCTTCCTACGCCTTCCTCTATTCTATTTTCATCCATCTTTTCAGAATACAGCATCCCTTTTAAGGGATTTTCTTAGCTGATGGTTGAAAAAACCAAGCTCCTCAGCCACCCATAGAGCTGCCGGACGTGGCCGCATACCTGGAGACACCCTGTGAAGTACAACACATTATTTTAAATTAAGCAAAGATCATGCAACAGAATGCATTTTTATTTTCACATGGGCAAGTTCTCTACCAAAAACTTTGTATTTTCTAGGATTTCAATGGGGAATAACCTACCAAACCACATGCATCTTCTAAACCCTATTATGGAAGAATGGAGGTAAAAATCTCTCTCACATTACAGAGAAGCAACAAAAATGCACAAACCCATGCTACATGTCATCTTTAATGCTAGTGGACTCTTTGGGACTTGACCATGGTGCCGTGAGAAAAATGAGTGTGAATGCCTTAAGATTGTTTCATGTTAATTGGGTATATGGAGAAGCAAAAAATGTAAACATTTTTTGAGAAATGCTACATTGCCACACAGTGGAGCTGAAACAAAAGAACAGATATGTACAACAACAGCATGAAATTCATCCAGCCAAGCCAACAGAAACTGGCAAAATGCTATGTCACATGTCAGCATTGACCCTTTCATAACACAGTAAACTACAAGGCTATTTTAACCTTAATCTTCACTTTTGGAAAGCAAAAGGGAGGTTATTACAAAATTAATTAAAATATTCCAAGATATTAAGGAAAAAAATATCACAGAAACAAGCATTTTATAGAGAAACATTTTTCCACTCGCATGAAAACTGACATCTGAACAGTGATACAATGGGACACTCAAACTCAGCTACATGGAAGTCCTTTTCAATAGTTTGGCAGTAGGAATGTTGGTGGAAATCAGAAGGATTCTATGTGTAAAGTGTTTCTGTGTCTCCTTCCTATATGAGACTTTAAAATAACTATTACAAAGTACTGTTGCACACTCTTCTTTCCATTAGCGTCATAATTTGACTACCTGGAAGGTATTATGTAACATTATTGTTGTTACCTTAGAGGTAAACTTGTACAAAATCAGCCCGTAGACCACAGTTTAATGTAAATGAATCTGCAGCCTAAGACTTTGCAACAGTCCAAGTGAAAGTAGATGCCTGTCCAAATAGTATCGTTTCCGTCTTCGTTCACTGAGAACACGTGCAACAGAAACTGTGCAAAGTAAGAAAGCTTAATAATAACAAAAAGTAAAGAGCAATTAAAGACAGTGTTGCTGAAGCGGGAAAGTTGTTTCCAGAAAATAAAACAAAATCGGATCATCTTGAAAATTCTCTCAGATTTATCCCCCAAATGCACATGGCAAGGGTCACACTGGTGTGCTTATAGAAGTAATTATTTTAAAAAAAGAGGCATTCATATGTTTTCAGATATATTTCAGAACAGATAAGCAGGTTAGAAATTTTATACATTATGTTTCCATATACTAACATTATATAAATGTTTTGTTGATAAGGCAGTATCTTGAGCAGAGATAACTGTTGGACAGGGACCCATTGCTCATTATAAGATGAGGGTTATCATTATCTTAAATAGCCAACACAGCTTCAAAATCCACCTGATGGCATTCATCAAGGCCTACCTGGGACAGAGTAAATGCTCAGGACTATTTTTCTGTCTTTATTCAGCTGAGTAATGATGAATTAATTACCACTGGTGTAAAAACACTCTAAACGATACGACACATGGGTCTCCAACTCACATCTGCAACTTGCACTGGTTTTATTTCAAAAGCACTAAGTTACATTAGGAATACTTAGTCAACAAAGTTGCCACTGCTTACATAGCAAGGTAATTCAGAGTTGTTTTTAGGAGTGTAAACTGTGGCACTCTTAAAACATTTACAATCTGTAAAAGTAAAGTTTATAGCTGACACAACTACATCTTCTGTTTAATAGCATAAAACCACAATTCTTTATGAGTCAGTCTAAGAGTGACCTCTAGGAGTGCTGAGATGAACAGCAACAGAGCTTGCCAACTGCAGAATGATATTCCTTTGATCTCAGGAGAAAATTGATAGTGAAAAAAAAGATCATTAGGTTAAGTCAATTGTTTATATATCTCTCCACTACAGAGGTTACAGACTCACCAACTCTTGGAGCTGTGCTAAGTGGCAGAACCATGGAAAGATGCCATCCTGCCTGGCCGTTCTCTGCCACATTTCCCATCCTTTTTTCCTTTGCCATCACATGCATCCTTGCAAACTCAACAGGTGGACTGTCACAAATCAAAACCTCCCCCATATTTGTTTTCAATTATATCAATACCATATCCTAATAGCATGCATTTCTCTAAAAGCAGCAGTTTTAAAGCTGTCTTTCCTGTGTGTCTGTTACCAAAAACCAGTTCCTTTCTGAGAGAGAAGAATGAAGATAGGAAAAACAGAGGAGGGAAGCATAGATATCATGATATTGACAAAGTTCTGCTAGAGTACTATCAGTTCACAGAAGTGGCCTAAAAACTGTATGGCCAAATTGGCGAGGTCAATCTAATTCTATTGTGCAAAGAGATGTGAAAACTGATCCTTATTAAGGCAAATCACCCACTGACATAAGCCAGGTGGAGTCTGCTTTAGTGCCACTTTCTTTTCTCAAAATAGCACAGCTTGCATATCATAATAGAATTGGGAGAAGCAAGGCAAAGGTTTACTTTAATTGCTAGCTATCATAAGCAAGCATTAGATCTGCTACAAACTGACCCAGAGAATCAAAAGTCTATTAACGGTTGCCCAAATACTCTCTTACAGTTCTGCAGTATGCACAGCCTCGAGCAACTTTTAACTGCTCTTATCTGTAAGGACTCCAATTTTCAGAAAACCACAGATTCTTCACTTTCATATTCAACCGCTTCATACCCTGACACTTCAGAGATTTTACTAGGGCAACCTTTGCAGTAAAGGTAAAGCGGTTAACCGATGGAGTGGAAATGTAGGTGTCACAGAAGGGGAGGTGCAGAAGAATTCCCCGCGGCTTTGGTTCAAAGGACAGTAGCTGTGTGTGAGTGCTTCAGGATGGTAGAACTTCCCCTCACCACTACATTCTTATGCTGTACAGTTGGTTCAGATTCAGATACTCAGGTTGCTCATTAAACTGATATGTAAAATTTGCCAAAGTAAAATTAAATTTACAGCGTGCTTGTTCTATCCTTTATTAGCCTGTGAAGTGATAAAGTCATTACAGTTCCTGGACTCTTTCTTTGCAGACATTTTTTTCACTTGGGATCTGTCCAAGCTATACTAAGAACGCTCTCTCCGCTCCCTTCCTATTTCTCACCATCCTCCTCGGAAAATCCACTGCCAGCTAGAGGAGACACTGTCTGAGTAGGCTTTTCCTAAGCATCTGCTACCACATATCCTCATTACATTCTGAAATAGTACTTTCTAGTGCTCAATGAAGTCACAGCACAGATGACTTGTCAAGTTAAACGTCCTTCCTGTGCAGTAACAGCACATCATAAAGTCCCTGCCCTGTAACTTAATTGAATATAAAAGGATATATACACACACATATACCACACAGAGTTAAAACAGATGACTAGCCATGCCTAAGAGCTAAACACTGCTGGTAACTTTTCTATCATCTTGTTGCTGCAGTACTGCATCATCTGGATGTAAAGTTCTGCATATAAAACTTGGTTCACCGAGCAAGCTGCTTTTCTAATGAGCAGTTCTGCCTTTCCACCTGAGATCTGAGGAACCTGTTTTTTAAATCTATTACATTGGTGCAGCCTCAGACCAGCTGCAGTATCTCTCCTTGAAATCTACAGGCTTATCCTATTCCCAACAGCTTAAAGGTACGTTTTATTCTACTTGGATAGCATCCCTCACAAAATGCTTTGGTGCAAACTTTGACCTCAGAAACAAAGTCAGGGAAGACACTGTCCCTGCTCTGAATCAGTCAATGTCTTGCTATAACAAGCTGTCTGCTGAAGATGGACATTCACGGATACTGCTGGCTAGTTTTTCCCAGGTGTCAGAGGAAAGCACAATGATTAACACAGGTACACTGAGCCAGGTTGTTTCTTTCAGATAAACAAGCTTAAACGACAATTTTTTAAAAAAAAAAACCTTAAAACATTTCTCCACAAACTTGAAAAGGCCAGAAACTAAAACTGACATTTCTGACAACATTTCTCAGGGCTGCTCTATTTCAGATGCTGCCAAAGTTAGGAATCCAAAACAAGGAAAATCAAATCACAAGGAAAGTCCATTCGCCTGACTGGAGCATCTTAGTCCTGCAAAGAAAGATCTACATCTGCAGCATCATTACTTACAGATTCCTGCATAGGGTGACTGAGAGGTTTGTCGAGAGCTGCCATGCTGCTCGGCATGTCTGGGGGATGTGACAGCTGTGGCCCATGCATGAAATCATTCATAGATGTTCCACCAGGATTCCCGTGTGGAAAATCAAAATTGCCATGACCTTGGTAACTGTTACCTGAAAGACAAGCAGATACAATACAAAATAATTTATTTATTTATTTATTTTTCCTGACACTGATCTTTTAGAGTCTTGCTAAAGCTGTGCAGGGCTATATATCTCCCTTGCATAGGATGGGGAACATAGCAATGTTGCGCTCCCCATTGCAGAGGCAGCTGAATGAATAGGGAGGAAAAATGGCATTTGGTTTTCTTGTATTGGCTACTGGTGGGAATATTAGAATTGACTGTAGTAATTCGTGTACATTCTGAAAATAACTGCAACCTCCTGACACCTAGAAAAGCTGCTGTTAAGTCACTAATTAAACTTAAGCAAGACAAAAAGTCAGAAGAATCAGAGTGAAACTGCCCAAGCACAAATTATATATAGGACACCTGTGTTATTTTTATCTACATTTCCACGCACTAAGGAGGACTGTAGCTTTGCATTAGTTTCTGACAAAGTTAATTGACCTCTTCTTTCTCAGTATAAATAGGCAACTTCTGTTGAGATAATGCAGAAGAGGCCTCCATGTCTAATTGAGGCTTATGATGTAATTCTCCTTGTTCCCATGAAACCTAATAACATGCATTCGACTCCAATTTTCCCTTTCTGGAAACACCTACCCTCATTTTCAGAGCTACAAGTTGCCTGCTCGCATCCTGTGTTTCAGATGTGGAAACACGCATTCACAAATGAAAAATCAGCAAATCTATGAAATGTAACTTTGGATGGAAAGGATGTTCTCCAGAGCATCAAAATTCCATAACAATTCAGTATCAGGTTTTAACCCTCACACATCTACTATTTAGCAGCAAACCTGGGGCCCTCTGCTGAATTTCAGGACAAGTGTGTTTTGATCCCTTTCACCTCAGCCCTGTGAACGTTACTATAATTCTGCAGTATGCATGCATCATAGTACAGGGGACTTATTTTCACAATTCTTTTCCGTTCTGATCCCTCTGTTAGCACTTTCATTTGAGATACCAACTCTGTTGGTTTATCTGCTCTGAAGAATTAAGACTGGACTGAAGCCATTGAGCTATTTTTTTATATGTGACCTAACTGCATGATACTGAACTCAGAAACAATAGAATAGTTTTGGAACTTGAACAGAGAACTTGGAATACAGCAGCTTTAAATGGAAGAAGTCAAGAAGGGAGTTCAACAAACCAAAGTAGCTGCAACATTTGCTCTTCAGCACAGTTTCATAAGCAGAAGCTTAATCTCAGAGGAATAGAAGTCATTAGCCATGTAAGAGTATTTCTCAGAGAAGTCAGGTCTTTGATCTACCATGTAAATACCACAGAGCCTTACTAATTCCCATTTTGCTAATCTGCAAACTGGATAATTCTCCCAGAATGTAACTGCTCTTGCCTCACTTCTCAGGAAAAATTTAATAAGCTCTTGTATTATCAAGTACTTGCTGCATTTACAAACTATACTTCAGTATAATTGCAAATAAAAACCACAGTAATAACACTACTACTTTTTTTCTAGAATGTTGTCAATCAGAGGACATCACTTAATAATAAAGGCTAAGTTTCATTGCACACACTGATAGAGAATAAAAACATGATGCCCAGGCATTTACAGCCATGCAGAAATACACCCTTCTCTGGGGCAAGAGTTAAGCCACCCACTGAGGGATACACCTGTAAAGTCATTTAGGATAATCTGGTTCCTTGCACTGATACGTGTGTTGCAGCAGAGGTATAACAAAATGGATTTCACATGATGAGCAGAAGCTCTGAGCAGCAATGCCTAACTCTGCTACAGGATCTCAGCGGAAGGGAGGGAAATAACAGTCCAGGCAACAATCACTAAAGAAACACTAAAACCCAGCTTACATGACTACTGTGTCCATTCCTGAGTAAAGGAGCTAGAAAGATGATAAAGAAAAGATGGCTCTGTTCTCATGTTCTGACTGCGTTTCACTCCTACTTAGCAACTGAAAAATTTGTGATTCAGTGCTCTTGGCTTTGTTATAGTAATCATTCATCTGTTTGAAAACCTGGAAAGTTTTATCATCTGTCATCAGTTTTGCAGTCATTGGAGCAAATGAACCATATTTTGCATGCAAGATACATTTTTCTTCAAATGCCTGCAAAAAGCACATATATCACCTTGTAATCAATTTGAGGATTCTGATGGTGTGAACAGTTGGTCTTTTCTCTGAGCTGAACTGAGTCATATCTTATTTCTTGCAAAAAGAACAGTCTCTGGTTTCATATTTTTAGAATTGTCAGTATAATTTAGTTATTCAGAGTATCCCAGTCATTTGAAAAGGTATTTCCACTGCTTGGATTTAGTTCTATCTTTCTCAAACTGGCAATGCATGGACAGAGGATCTCAGAAGTCATAATCCAATGCAAAGGTGTTTGCAAAGCAGCTAAAAGTTTGATTGATCCATGAAATGTCAGCCGCCTGCTCAAGTGGCAGGATTAATGACTCAGGTTTGCTACGTAGTAAGTAATGTAGCAGGACGAGCTTTTATTAGAATGAGAGGGAACAGAAGGAAAACAGACAGAAAAAATGAGGAAAGATGTACATTGTGGCAGGCCATGAATGCATAAGGGAACACACAGTGCTCAATGATTTAGAGAGAGCTGCATGGCAATAAATGTGGCAGTCACCAATTGCCTTACTAAAAGATATTTCCTCTAACCAGATGAATCTTATATGAAAAGTCTCGTGCAGAATTTCAGAACTGAAGCCACACGTATTTTGATTTCCTTTTGAATGTCCATGAGAAGGCGCAGTGACAAACCTGCGTAACAAAGGAATCCGACTGACTCACTGACATTGAAAGTAACAATTTGCACAAACAAAGATGTAAAAGCTACCTTGGTTTCCATATTCGGTGGAGTTGTTGCCTCCTGGAGGAGGTGGGAGGGATGGGTAAGGTGATGGTCCAGGACCCAAAGCTGCAATCATCTCCATCACATTTGGCATGATCATCTGGCTTGGACTCATGGTCTTAAATCTTTTGGAGGGAATGCCATCTGGGTCATCTTTGATGTGAATATCTGACTTTATAGGGACTGGCCTCCAACTGCATGTTGGATCAATGGTAACTTCTTCAAACTCTGAGCTGTAAAATAACACGAGAATTTTAGCACATCAATTGCTCTTCGGTTTCCTGTCAATTCTGCTGATATTTCCCTAAGAAACTGATGGTAACAAATGTTTTTAAGTGTTCTAGTATATACAACCTCAAAATCTTTCACTCCTCAAGTGTGTGCTGAAAGCGAATTTTAGAAATGGCAACTGTGAGAGCACATTTCTGTTTATATCCTCACAGTGAAATCCAAATGTATCTACATATGAATCAGAAGGTCTCCTTCTAAACACGAGAAAACATTTCATCCTCCATTCTCATTCTTCCTTCTGCTTCATTGATGAGGTTGTCATCAGGAGATGACCCAAACAAGATCTATTAAGCAGGCAGAAAGAGACACACTATTATTAGCTATGCTCACTGACATTACTAGCTTTACCAAGAAGCCATGAAACAGAATACTCAAGTTCAATCATTAACACCTTATTTGGCATGACTGTCTCAGCACTCAATGAAAGATGTCCCAGTTACTTAATCTTGGATATCAGAAATATCAATTCACTTACTTCTGTATAGCGTTGAGAATACCCCACATGTACTGGTCAACCTCCAAGCCCTCCAGCAGAGCAGTTTTACTAGAAAAGGAAAAAAAAAAAACAAACAAAAATCCAACTCCTTCATATTAGAATATATCTTCATATATTTAAAAGAAGGATAGGTTAGTGATGGAATCAGCAGTCTAAGATCTACCAACTATCTCTTACAAGTAACTTATAATGACTTGGGAGAAACAGCTTCAGCTCTACATCTGCTTTACCAAGATAATAGTTTTTAAAATCAAATAGGTAAAATAAGGATACTTGCGTACATACATATGTAGATCTGTGTATGCCCACTAACTGTTCACATCTTTGTTGATTGTTGATTTTATTGAACTGTATTTCAGATATAAAGTCTCTTCAAGCACAGATCTCTCCTGTGGCCATCATCTATAACTACTAATTTTTAAAAACTGCATCTGTGCTGTTTTCTTGAGCTACGCAGTAATATGCCTTCAAAATAACTGCATATTATAACTGTTTTACAGAGCACACATGGGGACAGAACAAAACAGTAACAGTAATGACTGAGTTACATCGGCTCTAAGATCAGAATGTAGGTGCTCATACTTAGAGAAAGAGGATACAAATTTTAGCCTGAATATATCAATACATAAACTATGAAGTAACTGCTATCTTTTAAGACATCCAATTCTTATTTTTAGCCAAACTCAAAAGATTAAAAAGCTTGAGGTAATTCAGAGAAATCATCTGAGCTTTAGGATAGCTATGAATCACAGATGGTCAAGCTTATCTCAAGTCTGTGACGTTCACAGAAGCAGATAAAATGGACAATGGCCACATCTATTCAATAGATAACATTGGCTGACACAGATGGGCAGAGGTGCTTGCAAATTGCTACAGCTACAGATGCCCAAGCTTAAGAGCACTGGCTCTCAGCTGAGGCTGTAACCAAGTCATAACCATGTGCACTAAGCACAGCAGGTTACAGACATTGAATGGGCTTGCAGACATTCTGTGAGTCTTTTTTTGCTCAGTTAAATGTGACCACTTTAAAGCGTTATCTTCTGTTTCTTCTGCAGTATGCAAGTGCTCTGGTCAAGACATAAGGTTGAAAATATACTGAGGTATTTTCCTTTTTCTGTAAGCAATTTCTCCCAACTTTCGTAGTAGCAGCTTCTTGGAAACATTTCAGCTTTTTAAAATCAGCCTTATTCTGAACTGGAATCCTTTCTACTTTCTGCTTTTGCCTTCATTTGCACTTGACATTGACCCTGGAGGATCCTACTGGCAAATGCTGCAGCCTCCAAAATTCCCATTCTCCTTGAACACTGGCGTTAACTGCATTCCTACGTGACTCAAAGCACAATGCCCAAGACAGTTATTTGGCATCCTTAAACCACCAAACTCAACTGGATATTGAGAATTTTAATATTTAAATATTTGAAGTTTACTAATTTGAGCATTACAACATGAAAATTACAAAAGTAACTCCAGAATAGACTATCTATTCTTTTATCATGGTATGTTGCTATCAGCTCCTTGTTTATACTTCATAGTCTAGAGGAAAATCAACTCCCAGTTCACCAGTTTCATGTAGATATCTGTCTTATCACTACAAATATTTGAGCTTCTTTTGAACTCTACACAATACAATGATATCCTGATGAGAGCTAGCAGACGATACACTTTGTGAGAAAATGTCCTGTTAACTGTTTTTGAATTTCTAAAAAATCCAGGGTGTTCCCCCAATTCATGCAATACTGAAGAACTCTCACTGGACTTTAGGTAAATGTTATGTATTTATATATCTCATTTTCTAGCACTTCCTTTCTCTCCCTTCCAAATAAATTATCTTTTCTTCATTACCTTCAATATTACTGAAATTTGGTTAAATCACCTATAGCAGCATTTCACATAGCATAGTTGCACTTACTTGCATACTGGACACCTCCAAGTTCCTCTTTCACAGTTCAGTTGTAAGTAAGATTCCAGATCAAAGCACTATGTATCAGAAAGAAAGAAAGGAAGAAAGAAAGAAAGAAAGAAAGAAAGAAAGAAAAAAGAAAACAACAACAAAAGAGAAAAATCAAAGGAAAATACTGTATTAACTGAGTCAGACAAAAGTAAAACTGCCATGAATAAAACCCTACTAGAACTAACTTCTAAACCAAGTAGTGTACTTGTCTCTACATTCAACAGAAATACATATATGTATTTAACTTCTTATATTGATAGACAAAAAGGAAATCTGTTAAGCTCTCTCTTACAATAATGTGTTACTACACATGGTGGAAGGAACACTGTAATGTCATTGGCATTTACTCACTTGTACGTGCTTGCAATCATGACCCCTTGCTGGGAGCTGAATCCGCCGGAATGTGATCGGACACTTCAGAGACACTTTAATGGCTGTTTGCTCTACTCCATCTTCCCCATTTAGTGTTGCATTGCCAGAGGAAGCTGCTACACTACTGAAGTTCCTCTTTACTGTTTAGGAAGAAGGCATGCATGAGAAAATACATGTACTCTTTAAATCCTAATGTAGAAATTTGAAGGACCAACAATTCATCCTTTACAGGCTACTCTAACAGACAATTTATCCACATGAGTGTATGCTGCATAATCTTGTGCTGTACAGACAAACTATCACACACATGGATATCAGCCTCTGTCTCAACTATAGCAAGTGCTACACATGCACTTAAAGCAGCCCTAAATGAAAAAAGGAGAAGAATCTTTTAATGCAACTCTTTGGAATAGGAGAAAAACAAATACGGGGGAAATGCAGACTATCCCAGGACAGAAGAGCCACCATTAGGGACTAAGTTTGTGTTCTTGGTATTTTGTTACCCCACCGAAACAGACTTCAAAATTTGAGTATCCCAAGGTTTTAATCTATGCACAGAATATTCTGGAAATTCTTAAGTGTAATTTAAAGTTTTCAGTAGGCAAGCAAATCTGGTGTAGAAATAGTTAATCACAATTTAACATAGGCATTTAAAGAAAGTCATCACCCACAAAAAACAAAACTCACTCTTGGTGATACAATGTTCTGCTGGGAGGAGGCGTTTCTTTAGTAGACCTTGAAGTACAGAGCGAACTGACGGCCGGTGTACTAACTGCAACACGAACAAGTGTGACTGAAAGAGAACACGCTTTGTTACCACGAGAACCAAGCACACATGGCACATACGCTGCTGAACAGAGCTGCATTCTTCCCTTGGATGCATAGCTTCAGAAGGCATCTAATGCATAAATATGAAAGCTGGTGCTGCTCTGCTGAGTGCACGCACTCCCATAGGGATATATTGAATGCTGTACAGTATCTTGTTCAGTTCCCCAGGAGCACAGCATACAATAGCTTTAGAAAATAAAGAAAAAGAAGAAAAGATGTTCTGCATTTTCTTTCTCTTTAATATTCAGAATATGGAGGGCTGATATATTCATCTCTGACACTTGGGTTTATTCCTACGACCCTGGATTCTTTGACATAATCTAGACTATCTGCCTGCCATCACACTATGTTATAAGTTGCACAATTTGCCATTGATCTGTCTGCAACTCACTGAATCCTCCTTCCCACACAGAGTCGTAAGAGCCTGCTGTGGATTTGCAGGATGCTGCCCCGGCTTTTAGCCAACAGATAAATGGTATTAGGCACAGATACTTCAATGTGAGGTAAAGCAAAATGTGTCAATGGCTCCCCATTAAAACGCCTCACACTGTGACCTTGGGAGAGGTAGCAGTTTGCTTTCTTGTCAGTAACAACAGAGCAATTAAAAGCTCAGACTGTAATGTGCGGAACAGTCTGCATTAAAAATATAATACTTGTATCTGAAAGCAACTAAACCATGCAAAAGGAGAAAGGGGGACGGTTTCACGGGATATGAATTTTTCATCTGAAAATCACTACCAACAATGACAGTGCTGAAGTTATCACGACAAATCAATTGCAGTTTAATCCTCTACGTAAATGAAATTAGTACTGGATAACAGTCCACACCACAACAATCTACTCCCTTAAAATCCTTCAGCCACTTTGTAACTCAGGCACACACTAAAGAGCTTGGAGAGCAAACTGTTCCTCCCCTAGGCCCCCAAGTCCTTTCAAACTCACTGAAGGGACACTGCTACAGTCTGCAATAATTCTGCAGCGCAAAAAAAAAAATCAGCATTAGTACTCTGCCTGTGTCAACACCATTAAACAAGCGTCCTACCAAAAAAATTCGAGGGAAAAAAAAAAGAGAGGAAGGCTTTTTCAGCCAAGGCGACATTTGCAAACTGTACTAAATAGCAAAGTCAGCATCAGCAGCTGCAGCCACAAGCTCGATGTACTTACACAACAACATGCTGTGACTGTAATTTGAATCGTGTTTCTTCCTGGCTGGCAGACATGCTTTAGGTGCAGAGGTTTATGAGATGTCTTGTTGTCACCACGTTCGATGGTAAGTGGGGTTGCATTAACGCTGACCTGGACTGAAGCTGGCCAGTTTGTGTTCATTTGTCTGTCTTCATGGTGATAGCACTTGAACTGTAATTCCAAGTCAGACCTGTACAACAACCAATAAATCTTCCTTTAACTTTTCTTGCACATTGCAGAGGGAGGTCTTTTTTGTTGCTAGGAACATTTTTTCTTGACCAGACTATTCTTCTAGAATTATTCCCAATAAAAGATACAGCATACTTTCATCACAAAAACCCTTAACAGAAGAAAGTCATGATGAATTAATGATGCAAGCATGCCACAGAGTTGTTAATATTTTACACTTATAAAGGACTTTCCAAGGAAACATCTCAAACCACTTTGCAAAAACAGACTGTGAAATGATCCCCCCCAAAAAAAAGAAATGTTAAGACAATAGGTTTTTCATGTCTGGGTGAAAAGTAAAGAACAAGAAAGTTATACACTGCAGCAGACTGTGTTAGAAGATTCCAGATCTTTCACTATTTCAGGGCATTTGAACAAGGTTTTGAACAAGTGCTTGTCAGACGTAGTACAGATACAGCTATTCCAGCCTTAGAACAGGTAAATCGACTAACAGAAAATGACCTCTGTTTCTCACTGCCTGTATGTCTTTGATTCCAAATTATCACAGCTGTGGATTAAACTTACCCAAGTTACAATTTCTTTCAGAGTAGGATTCCCTTCCTCCCTCTATTAATAAATATCACATGCTATTCTGCACCTCAAAATTAGGTTTATAACACCTACAAAAAAAGGGAGTAGCTAAAACTAAATTAATAAAAATTAAATTGGTAGAGATTATGACTTCCAAGTGTTGCACACAAATGTCAATGTGCTAGAAAAGAGCAATATGAAGAAGAAATATAAAAGAACATAAGGAACTGAACCAAAATGCTGGAATTCTGCTGTTTGTGATAACTAAAACATTCTGCCCAATGTTTATTTTTTATGCTTGAAAACTCAGGTGCTCATTTCTTCATCTTGTGTGGAAGAATACATCTTTGTAAGATCCACAAGGAACAGCTCATTCAGATCATCATCTTAACTGTCATTTTCCTTATCAGAAATAGAGATTTGAATTGTGACTTAATACTGTCTTCTCCAGATTTCAAAACATCTAGATTTAGTATTGGATAAAAAAGTTTTTTTGTTTTGTTTTTAGTGAAGAAAAGCACAGAATACAAATTAAGTGACCATTCAGCATAATCCTTCTATATCAAGTGTTCCTAGATGTTTTTTTTCTAGTATTTTACTCATAAGTTTTGAAAGATCTCTTCAAGATCTACCGGAAATTCTCATCTCATGAGAACATACAGCAACCACTGAAATCCAGAGGGAAGCAAGCTTCAGTGCCTCTAATATAAAACCCGAATGGATTATGTGCATTCCTGAGAACTCTGGCCAGGTCTGCTGAAAGTCTCAGGGTGAGAACAGAGATTAGGAGACCTTCGTGTTCTTAGCACACAGCCCCCCAGCAGGTCTCTGCTAATAACTAAGTAGTGCTAAGATTGAGCCAGCTTCAAGCCAGCTTCAATTTCTTGCTTTTAATCTTCTGTTTCTCATAACCATGAAAAGTTCCCAATGGGGACAAAAACAGTTCGTTATGGGTGTACATGTGAGAGGTTCTGCTGAGTATTTTAACTGGCAGAAAAATATTCAGAACTGGCTCAATGCCATCATCTCTATAAAAACAAAATCTTTCCACACATGTGGCTAATTCATTTTTTTGGAATCCATCCAGCCCTGAGGTACATTTGCAATGACTTTGTTACAGGACCATCCGTTCTCCCCACCACTGACAAGCTTTTCAAAACAGTAGACCTGAGCACAGTTTACCTACGAGTCTTCATTAAAATGAGTTTAAATAAAGGCTGTGTGTTTGGTGAGCTAATGAAGAAAGAACGAACAGAAAGAAAGAACAGATATTAAGAAACAGCCTCATGCCTCAGTGCAGCACTATAAATCTACTGAATGAGCCAGCACAATCCCCAGTAGTGATTACTTATTAATAAGAACCAGCAAATAACTGCCAAAACTCCCTCTGCTTCCAGTACTCCACGATAATGAAATTCAAGTAAGCAATAACTGACCTCAAAGTTAGGTGTTAATTATTGGATGTGGTCTGTCTGAAATCTCTCTCACTTCTAACCCCCAGGCTACCTCAAGTTTGGGCACTGTGGCAGCAAACCACTCTTATATCCTATGACCAGTCCCAGCTTTAGAGCCAGAGTCCATCCTGGCGGCAGAGAACCCAGCACATCTCTCTGCTACCCCGGAACACCTTGTGCTTTGTCCATGCCGTAAAAACAGAAGTCTCAAACAAATTTCAGTAAATGGGAAGAAGGTCCCCAGGTGGAAAAAGCTGAAACTACAAGTTATTAGTCCCATTTAGGCCAGGGTATATTTGATCCAGGCTCTGAAGAAGCTGAAAGTAAGGAAGGCATAACCGAAAATGTGCTGAAGATGCAGTGTTTTACCACCTCAGCTGCTACACCTGTAAAACAATCTCTGTACAAGACAGTGAGCGGCTATCCAAGCTCCACAGTGCACAGAGCTTCACACAATGCAATCAGAAAACAGGATAACACTGAAATACTGTCCGAGAAAAACAGGAGACAGAGTTATTTGGCAGGATTTGAAAACATAGAAAAAGAAATCTGGCTCTGATTGTAAGCTGATCTAAATGTTGAAAGCAGCACATAAGCTGGAATCACTCATGCAAATCCAAATTAAATTCCTATCACCTAGGAAAACTATTTTTCTGTACAGGAAAGTAGCATTTGCTGTAATTGAAAAACAGAAGACTTTATGTATGGGAAGCTATGTTCTGTATTTCTGATCCATCCTTATTTGGGGATTCACAGAAAAGAGGGGATGTATGAAATCAATTTCAAAACTTTGGAGGATTTAAGCAGTTTTCTCTCCAACTGATGCTATCAGACATCTAAACTGGGTTCTTCTTTAGCATGTTATTTTTAATTATCAGATATTCAGCCATTTAATTTTAGCTATACCTGCAACAAATATTTCACAGGTCACAGAGCACCTAGTGCTTCAGAGTCTGCTACATCAAAGTTTGAACCAATGTTGGTCACGCACATCCCGCACTCATTCTACCCAGAGCAGAAATGATGAAATGGTTACAACGACTTTTCAGAGTGTGCTACCAGCAAGGAAATGCAACATCCATCAGGAAGTATTTTAGAACACGCTGCCTTTGGAAATCAGCAGGTGATACCATCTTTGAGCATAAAGGGGACTTTTCCTAGTTAGGCCACAATTTTTGAAGTGAAATGGCAAACCTAAATGAAGTTCACACGGCCTGCCAATTCTCCATCGCTAGTGCAAGACTTCTTCACAACAAGACTCAGCTTACCTCCACATCAGCGTTTGATGAACAGTTGGCCGTAAGTGAAAGACATGGTTACTGACTGCCAGGTTGTGTTCCAGCCGGAAGGGCTCCAACACAACACCATCCCTCACGGGAAATGTCAGACGCAGCTCATCATTGTGGTTGGCTGGGATCGAAGAGGGAGAGAAAGCATGAACTTTCCCTTTAGCATCTGCAGTGCAATAATAATGTGTATATTTATACAGAATAGTAACAAATGGCACAGCGATCTGCTACTGGGTTTAACTTTGCATGTTCATACACGCACAAAAGAAAGACACAAGTAGCTACAGGATCTAGTCAATGCAAGTGAAAAGGCTCAAGCTGATAACAATGGAAAACCCGACTCTTTTATTCTCCTTTTATTCTGGGCAACAATGTGGCAAGAACTTGTGTTTTTATCACTGCCTCGGTTTGGTGTCCAGCCTTACTCTCTCAGCAAAAAGACTGACAACTCTTGATTATGGCCAACAGCAATGATGTTTAGCTATTTCTTCTGCTTTGAACAGGGAAAAACATTACCCAATTAATTTCAGCTGAACCTTTCCCAAGATCAAATATACTAGCACACAATTGCTACTTGATCTAGTAACACAAGATTTTGTGGTAATTTACAGCTAAACAGTGCAGGCCAAATGCCTTTAAATACTATGTTTTTGCCCAAACAATACTGCAATCACTTTCTTCTACTTCATTTTTCAGCTATCCTGAATTCCAAAGACTAGCTGCAAAGTGCTAATGCAGCAGAAGTCCTTTTTAGGAAACAAAGATTCTCCCAATTCCCTAGTAAGTAATATCTCCTACTGTTCATCAGTCACAGCAAAACATCAAACATCTTGTGCTATTATAGAGCCAGAGAGATCTTGTTATTCCTTCCCTATTCCCAGCCAAATGTAGCTGTGAGGTTGAGTGACTTTGAAAGGAACATATATCAATTTTTGGCACACTACTGAATATTCTTAAGCCTGTATGGATCACAATAGAGACAACACTATAAATATTCACATCATATGCCATTCTGCTGTTATGTTCAATGAATGGCTTTGCCCTTGAACAAAATATACCACAATAAAAGTTCATACAATCAACAAGCCTACCAAGCACACATAACACAACTCGAAATTAAATGTTTTATCATCAGGAAGCGTATCAAAGGAATACTTTGAAGAAATGTGTAAAGAATACTTTAGCACTGAAGAACTTCTTGGGATGCTCTATTTTAGGAGGGGACAGTAATCTTTTCTTTTCCTTTTTCCTCACTCTGTAGAGTCTGTGCTGCGCAGCAGGGCCATGCCACCTATTATAACTTAGCAATCTGAGCCTCTCCCAGAGCAGCAATCAAACCTGGTTTCCAGACTGAAATGTATGTGGCAAAGAATGAAGGGACAATAAATGACAGGAGGAGTATTCTGGTTGCTACTACTCACTTGGAGGTGGTGGTAAAGCACTGATATTTGGCTTAATGTCAGGTGGGAATGGTGGTTTGACATCCTGGTTAGGTGACAGGTATGGAGGAATATTGCTCCCTGGAGTCATAGGTGGCGTGGGATTTCCTGGAACAGGTGAATGAGGGTAATTTGCCACAGGTACAGGCCTTGATGGCTAGAAAATAAATAACATCACATTGTTATTGCAGTCTGAAAGTAACAATAATAAGCTCTGTGAATTGTACTGTTATTAAACATCAGCGACTACAAACAAAGAGGGAAGCCTCTTCTGTCTCCAGAAGGGAGAGAAACCACAGGATGTTCCATGAGGCCTTCAGGGAAGAGGCAGACCAGAAGAAGTAAGCAGGATCTGGATCCAGCAGACCAGCCAGTTTCATTCAGGCAATGACCAGACAAAAACCAAGGCTGCTAACACGCTTACTGCGTTCCACCGAACGCTCTCTTTCCACAACCATTTCAGTTTCTCCACACCACTCCAGCCCATCCAGCCCTTTGCACCTCTTTAGTTTCCTTCCAAAAAGGCCCCAGTGCTCAAAAGCCTACACGAAAAACAAAATCCAAGGACACAGAATTAGAATGTCTGTGACCCTTTCCCTTCCATCTACCCTTTTTTTTCATTCCTGTCCAATTCACCTACTCAGAACAAAAGCTCTGAGGCTCAGGGGATCTATTTTATTCTATGCATCTACAGTTTGACTCTGTTCTCTGTCTGCTGCTAAATGAGACTAGCTAAAAGAAAACAGATGGTTAATTATATATAGTAGTTCTAGTATTAAAACACCATTGGTTTTGTTTCTTGCAATTAAGGGGAAGGGTAGAGGTAACAGAATAAACCAGTAAGAATAATGTGCAAGATGATGATACTAAACAAAACTGCAACTGCCTGGCACCCTCCTTTAATAGTTAGTGTACCTTAAGTACACACATAACAGAGCATCACAAGATGAACATCCTTACAAGCAGCCAAAATATGAGCACTTCAAATCTGATTCCACATCTAAATGCCATGCTGCTAAGTAAGGTACTCTGATGTACCCAAGAAGAGAGTTATATTCTAAGTCTTTACTTTTCCATCCTACATTTCTGTGTGCGTGCGTTCTTTTTTTTTCTTTTCATTAAAACATACAGTTCCTGTCTCCACAGCCATTACAGTCCAAAGGTTTAGGCTGCATCTATGGAATTTTTATTTTTTCCCTAGCCAGAGATAATCTCCCTTCTTGACAAGTTATTTTCTAACTGTTTCCATGAACGGTCCATATTTGAATACAAAATGCATTGGAAAGAGCACAAATCCCCCATCAGAACTATTCCATAAAAAAAAAAAAACTTCAAACCCAGCCAAAATAAACAAATGTAAAATATATATTTTAAATCTGTCACTTCAAAACTTCAAAGGAATCTTCTGCTGTTATTTTGGCATAATTGACCGCACTGGAACTGCAGTGGTTGTGGATCTGTCACCTTGTTGTGTTCTTCTGCAAAAGCTGCTATGATGCAACAGGATTTCATGGGTCATGCTGCAGTGGACAGCTTGGCTGCACGTAGAGCAGATACTCTATAGAAAAGGGTTTGGGTTTTTTTTTTTGGCTCCTTTTTCAGCGGTGTGTTTTCTGTGTGATTCACACAAGAAATTCCAATCCAAGGCAAATTTGCACCTTCCAATCTCCAAAATGAGAAAGTAACCTAGAGCTAATGTTTTAAGAGCAGATCAGACCATCCACAGTCCTCTCTATTTTTATATTCACTGAAGTATCCGTGTGCAAGAGACGTCAAACTTCAGAAGGTCTTCAGTAAAACTCAACATGGATAATCAGAAGCAATTGGGATAATTCCATAAAAAAATATACAACACGCAAACAATTCTACTTCTTGCCCCAAACAAACAGCACAGGAAAACAACAACAACAACAAAAAACCCCAGAACTAACAAGAAAAACAACCCAACAACAGAGAAAACAGGGAGAAGTGGGCAAAAGTCATGCGAACTTCAGTACTGAACATGAATTCTACAGCTGGAACGGCTTTTAATTTTGGTCTGGTTTAACCTCACAATGACCACTGCAGGTCCGAAATTGGGATGCTGCAATGTGGAATTTGTTTATTACAAATTTCCAAAGCTGTATTCTTGTAGTTTGTCAATAAACAGGTGAAAATTTTACAGCTGTATCCATTATGTACTTATTTTTACAAGCTATATTTAAAGTGAAACCAAGAGCTCCTAATGAGTCGCAGTAACATTCAGTTTTCTTTATGAACCGGTTTGAAACTATAATCCAACTTGGCTGATAAACTTGTTCCTGTGATATCTAGAACATGAGTATAAGCACTGTATTTTTTTCTGTCTTTCCTTCAATGATGTAAAAGCAGTAGCTAAGAAGCCATAAATATGACTTCATCCACAAATGTCTACCGGAACGAGAACTGATAACCTAAAAATGCTTACCTTGTAATACTGCCCCATGTTGACTGTTGGAGGAGGGTACTGTCCTGTATTCTGCTGGCTTGGCATCCTCTGTCCAGGATAGTTGGGAGATGTAAGGGGTCTTGGAGGATTGGGAGTGGGATACTGACCAGGCTGGTTTGGAAACTGGCTATTTGGTCCGTACTGCTGGTTTCCATAATTTGGCTATTTCACAATAGAGATGAAAGAAAACAAAACAAAGATCTATTTCTGGCAAGCAACTGTCCTGAATTGATTGTTAGTATATATTACGTGGTAGATTCAAAACAGAACAAAATCAAATCTCCAAGTGAATATTCCTTCATTTAGCGTCACTCATGCCTAAACGAGGGCCCTGATGCTTGGAAGTGAATATTCACTCAGAAGAGTGAAAGTCCCATGCACTGATAAGATCAAATACGTACATTTTCCCCTGCATCTCAACACACACACACACACACACACACACTCAACCCTTATGGTGTTGTTAAGTCCCCGCAATCCTCTGTTTATGCTACCCTTATGGTTCAAAAGGAAATTCTGGTTTCAAAAAGAAACCTAGAATTGTAAAAATGTGAAATGTTCACAATATCTCTGTTTTTACAGGCACTACCAGCACCATCCTTGTGTTTCCTTTTCCAGATGGAGAATGGAAGCACAGAAAGAAAAAGTACCTTAATAATATAGTAACTCTGGAATGTGCACAGAATAACACATTCTTACTGCTCAACACAGCTGCCACCCTGGCCCTGAGTGACAGTGCTGAGCTGTACCCGAGCTAAATATGAGTTGGTATTTGTCACAAACACCTTGCTAACTCTTGTGAGTACTGTGCCCATCTCTGGAATCAAAATAATGAAAACTGTAACTTCAAAGGTAATAAAATGCCAATTTGATGATTGATTAATAAGAAGTCTCCATAAACTAAGCTCTCAAAAACCAAAATACAAATAGCAGCGACAGAATTTGCACACTCTCAGACTAGCAAGCATGCAACAGTTAGGCTCTGATCAGTATTAACTTATTGGGAACGTGATCATATTCAGTTATGACTACAAAGTTGCTTCTGAAACAGAAAAACAGAAGCCACAGCCTTCCCTATAACATGAAGTCTGAAGTATTTTTTACTTTTATAGTTTTAGAGTAAATGGTAGCATTCACTCTACAGAGTGAAAGACCTTTCCAGAGAAACAATTCCTCCTTTTCTTTCTTTTATTATTATTTTTTTTATTCCAGATTTTTTAAAAAGCAGTTTATGCATTAGGAAAAAACTAGTCTTGAATACATAAATGCAGCTCTAGAAATAATGCTTGCTATAATATGTGCATGCCATAGTACTCTTTGCTGTATGTTTTCTATAAACTCTTACTATTGTTATTACACTTGGGGAAAAATAATAATATTGAAAGCCTTACAGCTGAGTTATAGCTATTACTATAGTCTCTGTTTTATACATAATTTCACCAGGAAATTATATCTGAAGCCAGTAACTGGTGGCTAGATTTATAAAGACATTTAGGCACATACAGATGCGGACAGGTAATGGATAGAATTCTCAAAAGCACCTACTGCCTAATTCTCACCAATTTTAATAGTAAAATGCCATTGTGCATTTTAAAATCCAAAAGCACATCTGCCTGCACCTTTAGTTGTCTTAATCTCTGTATCATTTTGACCCTAATTATACTGCCTGAAGTTACAATACAAATCACAATGGCAAAATAATTTTGCATATGAAGCCACTCAGGTCTCACATAACAGCATGAGAACTTAGAAATACTACACTCCAAATAAACTTATATTAGGTAAGTGCTGACACAGAGGGACACGAGCTCAGCATGATTTATATTCATCTAAGCACTCATGAAAATCAAACCTAAAGAAGTTTGGAAAGCATTTGGTCTTCAAAATAAATGTTACTACTATTGGTGTTTATACAATGTCTGCCCTGTACTTCCTTAGAACAATAAAACCATTCAAGAAAATGCAGACCACATACGTTCTGGGCTCAAATGAAGTATGTCACCCTTCAGCATGTCTTTGAAGCTGTCAAGCGAAATAAATCCACACTTGTGAAGGAAGTCTGCTTAAGGTCTATGACTCTACCACCTAGCATGAGAACCTCAAAGTGACATTTTGAAGACTCAGATGGTTTGGGGCCTTTCTTGATTTTAATGACTATAATTTTGACTAACATATCAAGGACCAATCTGAGTACTTCAGAAGCTAAAAATCAATAGCTGCTGTCACTCATATTTTACAAGCAGTTTTCCTGTCAAGTTTGGAACAAAGATATAGTTATTGTAGAGTGATGTGTATCATACATTATTTAGCATATAGCAACCTTCAGCCAAAATAATGCTTTATACTAAATAAAATAAACTAGAGAACTTCCTACCTCTCCGGGGTACGGTCTCTTTATGCCCTGTATAGGCAAAGACTGAGGCCGTGGGCCTGGGTAGGCTTGCTGAGGCATCCTCTGCCCATGGGTGCTGAAGGGACTCATTCCAGGAGGCCTAGGTTGGTTCATGGACATGGGTGGCCCACTCATGCTGGAAGGTGTCATTCCTGCTCCCATGCTTGCTGGGTTCATGTTGCCTGGCATTGAAGCAGGGCCACGAGGACCAGGCTGGTTCATAAACTGGTTGTTGTAAGCCTGAGTTGGACCCATCTGGAAAGAGGAACAAACCTTCAACGGAAGAAGAAGAAAAAAAAAAAAGAATAAAATGCGACATGCATTTAAAATGGGAAGAGGGGGCTGAACATGCTTTTGGGGGGAGAGGGGGAAAAGAAAGGGATGTGTTATGTCGCATTTTCCTTTAACGTTCTCCAGTTTTTGATAGGTGGTGATGTTATTTATAATAAAAGCTCACTTAGAATCATAAAAGACATAAGAGAGACAGACAGGCACGTCTACAATGAGCAACAGTTTCAAAATGCTAGTCTATAATGGTTAGAATCACAGAATCACCCGGGTTGGAAGGGACCTCAAGGATCATGTAGTTCCAACCCCCCTGCCTAGCAGGGCCACCAAACATACACATTCAGATCAGGTTGCCCAGGACCCCGTCCAACCTGGCCTTAAACACGTCCAAGGACGGGGCATCCACAACCTCCCTGGGCAGCCCGTTCCAGGGCCTAACCACTCTCCTAGTAAAGAACTTCCCCCTAACATCCAACCTAAATCTTCCCTCCTTCAACTTAAAACCATTTCCCCTAGTCCTGCTGTTGTCAGCCCTTTTGAAGAGTTTACTTCTCTCCTGGGTGTAGGTTCCCTTCAGGTATTGATAGGCTGCAATGAGGTCACCCCACAGCCTTCTCTTCTCCAGGCTGAACAAGCCCCAACTCCCTCAGCCTGTCCTCATAGGGGAGGTGCTCCAGCCCCCTGATCATCTTAGTCGCCCTCCTCTGGACCCTTTCCAAAATCTCCATGTCTTTCTTGTACTGAGGGCTCCACACCTGGACACAGTACTCCAGATGGGGCCTCACAAGAGCCGAGTAGAGAGGGACAATCACCTCCCTGTCCCTGCTGACCACCCCTCTCCTCATGGAGCCCAGGATCCCATTTGCCTTTCGAGCTGCCAGAGCGCACTGCTGGCTCATATTCAGTCTCTCGTCCATCAGGACCCCCAG